TCTGTGCATAAGATTGCAAATGATTTACACCCCTACTTTTATCTGTTCGGTATATAACTGTTGTATGTACCCTGTGGCAGTGTGGATATCTTGCTGGCCGGCTGCCATCAGTGACTTCCATAAGTCTAATAAACCAGTGTCTCTCTCTATTGAAATACCTGGTGAGTTCTTTGGAATAGGCAAACACTATACGAGTGCCCTCTCAGATTTGGGGCTTCCATGATACAATAGTTATTAAAGAAAAATTTAAAGCATGGAAAAGTATAAAGAAAATAATAAAAATCTAAACAACATTCATAATACAATACAGCTGACACTTTAAAATCTTTGTTTTTTTCTGACTTGAGAGCCAGACCTACCTTTCTAACTTCCTGCCCAGACATTTCAACAGTGAATGTCTTACAGGCATCTTAAATTGAGCATACCTAAAACCACATTCTTTTTATTTTCTCACCATTTCCTGNTGCTTCTTCTGTTACTCTGGAATGGGCTTTGTGGAGAGAGACATCCTTCTCTTTTGTTTATCTCTGCTGGTGACTCTCCTTGTGTCATTGCACTCCAGTGGCTGGTGGACCATCCGAATGGTGGTTGTGGCATCTAGCTGCTTTCACGGCAGCCATGGTTATTGTGATGGCTGTGGAGGGCCACCCACATGGAGGTGATGTTTTTGGCATGCTCCTTGGCACTGGCGGTGTGCTTGGTTGTGTGTGGAAGGGTCCAGTCCCCAGGTCCCCAGGTGGGCCCCAAGGCCCTGGCATGGTGTGCCTGGTTGTGGGAGGGGGGTCCGGTCCCCGGCTCTGTGGCTTGGGTTCCTGGGTGGGCCCCTAGGTGCTGGCACAGTGTGTCTGGTTGAGGATTTGTAGGTGATTTTTAAAAACTAATATTTTTTCTTGATTTTAAGTGTGTTAGATAGTTGTAGGGTAAATTCCTATTCCCCCTCCCCGTGCATACCAGAGTTCCCTCTCCTCCCCTGGGAAACTACCCTGTCCAAGGTAGTTACCCAAGGAAAGGCATGTCCCCTTTAAGACAAATGAAAGACTGGAGAAGCAAGGACCCTAAGTAAATGAATTAATACACTGGTGCTAAAGCACTCTGGCACCAGGAGAGTAGTGAATAGATTAACTTATCTACTCAGCCATATCTCCTGCATGCTCTGTGTTATGTGATCTGGGTGAGGGTCTGTGCATAAGATTGCAAATGATTTACACCCCTACTTTTATCTGTTCGGTATATAACTGT